TCGAAAGCCTCGGTCTCGAGAAGCTTGATGAGATATTCGATGGTGGTTCGGAAATCACCACGAATGCTCAGCTCCTTAAGAGCCATGACCATGTGCTTCCTCGATGCAGAACGGTTCTCACCATAGGCGAAGATGTGGCCAAACTGACTGTCTGAGAAACTGTGAATACCACCCTGAGAACCGACGGAGAAGTAACCCCAGACATTGGAGCTACTCCTGAAGTTGAGCTCGTGCATCACACCGTTGGAAGGCTTGAAACCCTCACCAGGATCCTCAGAGGTGATACGGCAAGCAGTGGTGTGGCCCTTGGGCTGGGGTCGTCGCTGGCTCATAGATGTGCCCTCGTTCTTGAACTCAAAGTCGATCTCGCTTGAGGTCTTGGGGTCGACACCGTACAGGAGTCGAATATCACGGATTCTGTGGAGAGGGATACCCATGGCAATCTGAAGCTGGGCAGCGGGCAGGTTGACACCACTGACCATCTCGGTGGTAGGATGCTCGACCTGGAGACGGGGGTTGAGCTCCAGGAAGTAGAACTTGTCGTCGGCGTGGGAGTAGAGGTACTCGACGGTACCGGCGGAGACGTAACCAACGAGCTTACCGAGACGAACAGCGGCATCCTCCATAGCCTTGAACGTATCGGGCTTCGCAATGGTAACGGGAGCCTCCTCAATAATCTTCTGGTGGCGTCGCTGAACGGAACAATCACGACCGAAGAGGGAGATGTTGTTTCCGTATTGATCAGCAAGAAGCTGGACCTCAAGATGTCGAGCGTTGCCAGCAAGCTTCATGATGAAAATGGGAGAACCGGGGATTTCGCTGGCAGCGGCCTTGTAGAGAGCCTCGAAGCCCTCCTCCTCGGTAGCCTTTCGGATACCCTTACCACCACCGCCTTCGGAAGCCTTGATCATGACAGGGAAGCCAATCTCCTTAGCCCTCTCAAGACCCTCCTCCCATGATGTTACGCAACCCTTGGCGTAGATATCATCGGCGACGGTGACAATGCCCTTGTCGTCGACGGCGACTTCGTCAACGCCTGTTCCTGACCAAGGAATACACGGCACCTCGGCGTGCTGTGCTACAATTGTGGAGGAAATCTTGTCACCTAGTGATCGCATGGCAGATCCAGGAGGTCCGATGAAGACAATTTTGTTGGGGGAGGCGGCCAGCGACTCTGGCAACTTTGGGTTTTCTGAGGCATGACCCCTGAATTTCTCGTTAGTCCATGTATATAGAATCGCAGCGAGACAGAGTCTCTCGGAGCCAACTCACCATCCAGCCCAGACGGCATGGACATTCATGCGCTCAGCAATATCCACAATCAGCTCGACGTTGGCATAGTTGTGGTTGTTTGTGCCGCCGGGAACCTCGACGTAGTGGTCGGCCATTCTAATGTATTCTGCGTTGGCCTGCAGATCTTCGGGGGTGGCCATGACAGTGAAGTGAATGGCTCGCTCGTCACCGAACGTCTCGTAAGCCCATTTTCGGACTGATCGAATCTCCTTAACGGCAGCGATACCGTTGTTGGCAATGAGAACCTGTAAAACAGAGTTACTGTTAGCAAAACCGTTACGATCGCTTCAAAGCTCAGAACTGGCGGGGTAGACGGAATTGATCCAATTCTACCCCCCAAAACCCCAATTCTGGCAGGGAAGAGATGTCCTTACGTTGGTGATGACAGTGTGACCATCATTCTGGCCAACAAAGTCCTTGACCTTGCTCGGAGGAGCATTCTCCAATCGGTTGCCGCCGATGAAGTGGTCTGCAATTTGGAACTTCTCTGCATACGACGCCTTGCCATTGACATAGGGCACCGACCGCCCATTGGCACCCTCCTGGGCACCAGCTGAGATCTCAGTCATGGCTACTGCGTTTATGTGTGAAGAGGAAGAAAGAAAGGAGGAGAGGAGGAGATTATGAAGGAGGAGTCGAGAAAAAGAAGTCGGAGATTCGAAATAAGGAGGAGTTTGATCAGGTTGAGAGAGTTGAGTCGTGTCGCTCTCAGGTCGTCATGAGCCGGTCAAAGTGGCGGGCGCGCAAGGGCAGTTTACGGGCAGGGGTAGCTCCGGCCGAAGAAAAAACAAGATCCGACGGGACGGGAGCTGGGCCTGTTTTTCTGCTGGTACTGTTGGGGAAGCAAAAAAAAGTGTCCCAAGTGTGGTATAGGCGCTAAAAATACAGAAGGGTCGAAGGGTAGGTACTGTCTGTAATTAAGATGAGGTGGATAAGGTAGAGAGGGAGGTAAAAAGGAAGACGTTCTTGGTTGAGGAGGACCAGAACAAATTATGTGGATGGGTTGAACAAGGTATTAATCTCATTCGTCTTCCTTTGAGTTACCACTTTGAGGATTGAGAAAGGTGAGAGGGAGGACAGAAGAGGAGAAGAAGTCTTCATCAAGAGGAAAAAAGAAGTGGGAGGTCATCAACACAAGTACAAGTACGGATACAGTACCAAAAGAACCTGAAGCTTGGATTGGCTTTGGGATGTACAAATTCAATGGATCTGCAAAGTATCTCCACTTCATCTTCCCCTTGTGGGTTGTTGACTTGGTACTGTTGACTGCTGTTGGCTGGTGGCAAGCATCTCTCGGCACCTGGCGGGGAAGAGAAGCTAGAAACTAGAACTGTTGGGAGACAAACCCGCCTGGGCGTACAGTAAACCGACCCCCTGGGGCTTGGGGCGGGGTGCACCAGGACGATACCTACCCAGTGAGAGACTAACTTCCATATTCTATGGACGAGACAGTAAAGGTATCCAGGATTCTACAGTGTACCCCAATGGAAAAAAATATCGTCTCAAAGGGTGAAATTTCTCAATGTCATGTTAGCTTTGCAATGACCCGGAATGCAGTGGAGGGGAAGCCATTCAGGGTCCCCGTCAGTCTATAACCAGACTGGGATTAGATTCTGACATGGATGGTTGAGGGGCCGGTATTTTTCGTTGCGGGTGGAGGTGGGGGGGGGGCGCAAAACGCCAGACAATAACACTCAGACACTACAGCTCCCATCTCATTCCCAGCCAGGCCAAGGCGGCTCTGGGGGAGCGATTGATGGGGAGGGGTACAAAGCATGGGTAATGCCATTTACTAGGGGCCGCATTGGCTTGGAGCTATGAATGGTTGAGGTCAATGAATGAATGATGATGTTACGGAGACCGAACAAAGTCTCCGGATTCCGTATCGGAAGCCGGTGTACTTCGTGCGTTGCAAGAAGTCATGATATGATTGGAGAAGAGAGCTTGTGATGCTGCAAATTCCAATCCACTATCTAAATGGGTTCCTGAACGGGTATGTTGTGATATGGTCAGCTGACGGCTTCACGGTTGATATTCATTAATGCCCGTGTAAGTCAATGCCCGATGCACTATTTTCCCAGAGTCACGGCTATAAACTGTATAGAAATTCAATAGAAACCTTGATCAGTGAATCTTTAATTTATACTGAAGCTGGTTTCTACTCAACAAGGCTCCGATGTGAAATTCGGAGATTTTCGGCACTTGTATATCGGAGGTGGCTTACATGTTCGGAACCCGATCATCAACTTCATCACGAGATGCTCTCTGGTCACTCTAATTCCCGAATTTCTCTCCGGGGCTCATAAATCATATTCTAATCATCAGTATTATGCGAAGCAGCATCTGTCTTCTATAAGACAAGTCTCCCTGTATCTATCCTCCCATAGCATCACAGCCTTGACAGCCTCCTCCCACCTCAGCCTTCAACACCCTACCTTACTTATCACACCACAAGGCTGGCTCATATCTATCTCATGTACGTACACGCCCCTTCCATTTACAAACTAGCAGATCTCCAAGAAATCCAAAAGCCACAAACACGAGCCGCATGTTGGGAACCAGTCAGGGGTCAGAGATCATAATCGAGGCGTTGAGTTGCGGCTCCAACGTTTTGACGTGACGTCTGAACTTCCTGTGATCCGAACGCCGTTGCCTTGAGCATTTACCGAGCGAGATCGAACGATTGAGGAAGCTTGGATAAGGTCAGGGATGAGGGCTGGGGTTTGAGGGTTCAACGCTACAGTGAAGGTGTATGTGGTCATTTCGGTATGCTTGGATAAAAGTATACCAATTCTCTACTTTCTCTTTGTCTATCGTCGTACTGGTTTATCGATTGATTTATCTGTTAATCACCCACTGTACATAGTTGATGCTGTTCGTATCTGTCGAAGATGCCTTCTGCACCCGGAGTACATACCTAGTAGATACATATGTAATCTAACAACCACTCAACTCACCAATTACCTCCCTCCCATTCAAGCAACTAAACCGCTTATCTCCCTCCCTCACCATCCTCAATATCCCAATCCCAAGCTATCGTCATCCTCCCTCAAAATCCTACCCTAGAATCTCAATCTCAATCTCAGATCCAACAACCGCACTCCCTCCACTTCCCACTAGCGCCCTACCTTAATTCTCCCACACCCCTTTGACGGGTCAAAGAAAAAAAAAAAGGATCTCCCCAATTGTTGAGTTCCCCAATCCCCTAAGGTCAACCAATCAAACACAACCTTCTTTTCGGGGTTTTTTATCGTTCAATTTCAGAACCGCAGCCTCGTTACCCACGGTCATCCCCCGAATCCCCAACATTGTACACATGGATGGATATTTGGGTTTGGTTTCAGGAGGTGATGGGAGGTGTTGATATTGCCGGAGGGCCAGCGGAGCCGAAGTTCGGCGATACGTGGGATCTGAGCTGCATACTGCATCCTTTTCAATAATGATTGAGTTCGAACCGTTTGATATGACTGAGTCTGATATGTTGGCATTGATCTAAAACCATGAGTTGGTACTGGTTACGCGTAATATCCTGAGAGTAATAATGCCTCTGCTAAGTTCAGGGAAAACAAGGTTGCATCCGTTGTTCCGATCAATGGATCTCGGCTCAACAGCTTCATTTAATCTCAACCAGTACCCATGATGAATTAAACATTAGATATGTTGACTGAACCGGTTATCGTAATCACATACTCTCATTCAGATCAACATCAACTTCTTTCATATCAAATGTTGATACGAAATCAGTATTACTGAAGACGGTGCTACTTTAACCTTCACATTTAACACTCTTAAACCACCATGAAGTTATCGGTATGTATTGGGCGTATCTAGACTGGGTTTCATCTCCAACTCCCCAGTCCTCAAGCTAAAGCTAAGATATTGTATGATACGCCTCCACAGTCTGTATCTACACCTCCCTCTCACTCCTCCTACTCCAATTTGCACAAAGGAAAGAAAATAGATAAATAATTCAAGATCACAAGGCAACCAGACTAATCTAGCCCGCGGGCCGTTGCCTCAGCCTTGTCAGACATCGTACGACTCCCCACTGATGTCCGCCCTCCCCCGCGAGCAACCTTACTTCAGTGAGAAAAGTAAAGGTAGCCTCGCATCAACTCTTCCCCAGTATTACCCGCTCCCATCTCGCAAGCCGTTTTTTTAAAATAAGGACCATCCAAGTTGGTTTGCCCGGTCGATGACTCGCTTTTGGAGCGGTACACCCCCGTCCCTCCAGGCCCGGCCGATACAGCAAATACGGATATGTGACTCGGACATATGTACACCTAGCCAGGCCCTTCCCTTCTAGAAAAACAAAAGAAAAAATAATAACAATGCCATCCATGTCTTCATAACATCCGTAAACCCCGGTGCCGAAATCCCATGTACCCAAAGAAGCAGAAATATTAGTAACGAAGTCTGCCAGAGAGCAAGAAGTGGAATTCCGTAACCATCGTCAACACCGTCTTCGCCGCCTTGAAGCGCCAGCCGTAAAAGTATGCCGAACCGTCCATGCTACCCCTTATGTTTTGTAGAAACGGATATCAATGATGAGGTGAAATGCGACCAATTTGATTTGCGTAAACCGCTCGAACCGCTTGCAAAGTAAAACCATGTCAAAGAATATAAACGACCTGGGATCGTCGTAGAATTTTGTGGGATACAACTGTTTAGTAGGTCTCTCCCAGGTCGCTCAGCTTCCTTGGGCCGGATACACTGGACCTCATTGTATTGGCGCTTATCCTTCGGCTCCCGCTCTGGCGTCGAATTGTTGGCATGGGGATAGCGCTGCCTTCACCGTTCGAGTATGTACCCCTGCGGCTTGGCGTTCGGAACTCTCCCTCATCCTCTTCCTCTAGGTCCAGGTGGCTAATGCTGGCAGAGTGGCCATGAATCGATCCTCCCATCGAGGAGCGAGGTCGGCCCATGGGTGTTCGGGTTCCCGAGAGTGATGCCCTTGAAACGGGTCGTGGGATCATTTCTCCGGCGGTTCTTGAGGGCGGTCGGGCATACGAAGTGACACTAGCACGTGAGCTCGGCCTGCTGATCTCCTCCGGACCTCCACGGTTCGGCAATGGGCCAAACGATAAGCGGCTAACCCCAGACGTGCTAAGACGGGGCACATGGCTTCCCTTGGTTGCTGGTGTTGGAATACCGGTGGTTGGTGTCATGTCGTCGCCTGCAACTGAAGATGCGGTAGAGCCACCAGTGCGCTTACGAGAACGGATCGTAACCGACGAAGGCACATTCGTAGAGCTATAAACCGACGTTCGAGGTGAGGCGCGAGGTGGAGTGCGAGTCGGCCCGGGAAGCTTAGATCGCGCGGAGTGCACACGAGCCTCGAGGCGTTGCATCTGAGCGGTAAGAGTTCGAATATGGGTGAGCGAGTTAGAGGCAGGAAGTTTGTGAGAAGCCGAGCGAGGCCCAACGGCACGGTTGGCTGGCGTGCGCATTGTCGTTGTGCCACCAGTCGAGATACGGCTACCAGGCGCACGGGTCGTCTTGGTAGGAGGTTTAGATCGAGGCTTGGGAGTAACACTGTTGTCGGACGAGGGCAAACGAGAACGACCAGACGCTCTGGAAGTAGCGGGAGTTCTCGATGCCATCTTGGGAAGAGTTCCAGAGACATCAGACATAGGAGGCGAAGGCGGGTCAGGAAGTTCGGAAAGAGTGTCCTCGTCTGGTACAGGCGACTTAGAATCTGGAGGCGTGGTAATAAGAGGAGAGCTGGCTGTAGAGCCGGGAGAGGCGGGGTGATCGAAAGTTGGCGACTCGAGGATAGAAAGGTCGGTTGAAATGGTGGACAGGTGACGAGACTCCTGTTTCTTGATCTTGTCCTGCAGAAGCTCTGCTTCAATCTTGAGGTCGCCCAGTTCCTCGCGCAAGCGCTGTGACTCGATACGTAGTTGTTCACGCTCCTGCTCGCCAATCTTGATCTCCTCCTCCATCATGACAGCCCTCTCAATCGCCTGGTTGTACTTTGACTCCATATCTTCCAGAGATGACGTGGTGTTGCGCGCCTGTCGCTCAAAGTCATCGTTGGCAACTTCAATATCCCTCAGCTTCATTTGCAAAGTCCTGTTTGTGTCTCGAAGTGTGGTGATTTCTTTCTCAAGTGCATTCTGGGATGCGCTGGCCTCTGTTTTCGATTCTCTATATTTTCTCTGTGCGACGAGACGGAGCCATTGTCAGCCAAAAACGTCCCGCCCGATTAGAGTTGGAGGCTGTTGGGAATGAGTAGACATACCTTCCACTCCTCAACCTCGAAACCAAGTGCTTCGGCTTTTTCTTGGTGATGTCGCTCCTGCTTCTCTGCTCTCTCGATATCCTTCTCCAACTCCTGCTCAAGCTCCCTACTCGAATCCCTGAATTCGGCCAGTTCGGATTCTAATTGTTCATACTGTGACTTGTACCAGCCGAGGGTATCCTCGACACTGGCCCCAGGACCTGGCGGGGAGGATGGAGGCTCTGCCATATTGCGTGGTTTAATTGATTTGCTGGTGTTTGTTGTTGTTTATTGTCTCTCTCGCATCGATATGTATGTAAAGGGGGGGGGCTGTTGTCGCGATATCGAAATGTCGGGAGGCGGGATGAAGAAAGGTGGCGCAGGCGATAATACGTGAGTAACAAAGATTAAAATCGTTGATGGATTCGTCAAATGATTTGATGCTATAACTGCGCAACTGTCGGCATAGTCAGTCGCCCTGTTCTTGGGCGAAGTGGCGGGAGATTTCGCTCACCGATTCCAGGACCCAACGATGATCGGGAGGGAAACAGAGGATGACCCTGTCTTTTCGCAAACGGTACCTACCTAAGTCTTACCTGTATTACTGCACTGCAAGATGCTGTAAATCTGCAGTTGTTAGTATTCGCGGCCGCTGGAGAGCGGAAGTTCCATGGGTAGGAAACGTCGCGCGATGATTGCCGTAGTTGTTGAGTTGATGTGAGTGTTGAATCAATGTTTGGCCTGTGACCTTGGGCTGTTGATGCGACACATGGTCCCCCCATTCTCCTTGTGCCAGCATCATGCACTAAACTCAGATAGGAAAGGCCAATGGCAGCCATGGGCAACAGGGCGTTTCCGTTCCTTCAACGACCCCACTATTGGACAGCAATCCTCTGTCTCAGATACACGTGACTCATATGACTCTTTGTGCCTGAATTGTGGTCATATTCTTTGTTATGTGCGTTGTCAATTCCTTCAGTTTTTCTGTCTGAATCTCGCACGAGATATTCACTAATCTGAATCATCTCAAGTTTCTCTTAAGCTCAGTGCATTGACCTAGGGGTTATGCGCTATCGCTCTGATACTATACTTTGACAGGGGTTCGCCACTTGTCTTAGACTCGAGTTTCATAACGTGAATCTATGAATAGAAGCTGATATTAATCCAAGATCCATGGCAGACAAGCATGTGCGTCATTTTCGCATGACGGGCAGCTTTGACAACTCATACAGCATCAGAAAAAGAAACTGAAAATTCTACAAACCAATTTGAAAGACGACATGTCAACAAAGGCGTCACCTGAGCATATTCGTTGCTGTGTTTACACTAAAATACCCACTCTAGGGGAGCCAAGGTATCTTGGGATCTTTACCCCAAGTGACAGAAAAGACTAGTCTAAGCTTAGTGGTCTCTTTGATGAGTTTATTTTGGTACCCTCTAAGTTTACTTGCCCCACCGGGCCACTCTCTTGCAGGGTAACATGTTCGTGGCTTCATTCCACAAAATCAAACAAGACATGACATAATTCGCTACAGGCTTATGCACTCTAATTGAAATCCATTGAATTGAATTGAAGTGGTTATTAGTGAATCTTGGTTCATGTTGGCGATTGCCTTTAATAGAGCGCTAAATATCACAAAGGGCGATGTCTAACATTGGCTCTATCCACATAGTCAGTCATACCGCTTCTTCTGCGCTGTTCGCTCTCAGAGTCTTGCCCCTCCAGCTCTCCATGCACCTCTGACCCTTCCCGCTCCTGCAGCGGCAGCCCCAAAGTTATGCAGCCTTTCCCCAATAAGGTAGGCTTCGTCCCGTATGCGGGCCGTCCAACCATTAAACACCTTGACCAGGCCAATCGTGTTCTTGACCAACAAGGCGGCCAGCGCAACAGCTGGGTATGAGTGTCGATAGGTTATCGCAATTCGCGCAGCTTCAGCCACTTCGCTCTCTCCTGCTTCAATGCCTGGGATGATGTTGTACTTGATCAGAGTGCTTGTAAGTGCTGGAGGCCCAAATATGGCAGCTCCAGCAATCGCAAGACCAGGGAGCACGAAAGCTCGGGTCAGAACGCCGATATCAGGGTTCGCCCACCCGCCTCGCAATACCGTCCGGACAGCAACAGCAAGGCGAGTATCTGGGAACATTGATGTAATCATCCGAGCACCGAGTTTCAAGTATAGTAGGCCCAGTGTCCAGGCTTGGATGACACGCACCGTGTGCCGGCTAGCCTCCGGCCCACCCTCTCTTGCGGCCTGAATTGACGCCGCAGTCGGAGGATACATGTAAGTGTGGAGGGGAATTGCGAGATACAGCTCCAAGAGTCCCGAGATGAGGAGCGGGAAGACAACAAGGAGGAAAGAATAAGCATAAAGCAACTTGACGCCCCGTAACAAAACTGCAGCGGCACGGCGCTCAAGATTTCCAGCAGCCAGGGATGCTCTAGCAGCGGAAACCCCATCCTGGATCTTCGCCCAAACACTGCGAGCGTGGAAGACCAGGTAAGCTGCGGAACCGAGAAGATAAACACCAATGCTGAATGCATAGATGTCGTTTGTTCGAATATGCTGAGGAATCAGCATTTTAAACATGCGTCGGCCAAACACGAGTGGAATAATGGTGAAACCAACTCCTGTGACCGCCGCAAAGATCCAGATAAATAGAATGAACAGGAAGACCCTCGCTCGGAAGTGAGGTGGTATATAGACCATCTGGTACTGGTTGCTGGCGTAGAGATCAGTATCGTCCTGCCCATCGTTTCTTCGGCCATGTTCATCAACATCAAGGAAGACCCTCTTGCCCTTAGGTATCTTGACACGATCGGATGCAGGTGCACGAACAAAATGTCCGCTCTCGACAAGCTGATTCGCAGTCTTGAGATGATTTTTGTGTCGAGTGAGCGAGCGAATCTCACTGTTGTTAAGAGGAGCCCTTGGCTTAGCATCACCGCCATCAAAGAAGTCAGTCCAGGTCTTGGGTACGACGTGGTACCGGTCATTGAGCTCCAGAAACAAAGTCTTATACCATGGAAGTTGCTGGTCTCTGAGGGCATTACCCAAATGCAAGCTTCCCTCCTCGTCAATCCTTCGTTCGCCGAAAAGAAAGTAGGTGAGCCGTAAGCCTCGGGCGCAGGTCCTGAACCACCAAGTATACATGGCATGAAGTCCATCTCCAGGTTTGAAAAAGCTGACGGCAAGTGGCATAAGGAAGTTGTAGAAGAGCAGGTCCACAGGGAACTCGAGTACTGGTTCATTGGACGAGTAGTGAACAGGAAGAACTCCTGGGATTGCATAAAACAGGCCCCATACCACGCCGCCTAGACAGACTATGACCAGGGCGCCGTACACAAAAGCTGAGAAGAGAATCTTTCTTAACTGCGTGGTCAGGTTTCTCTCCAGGACATCACGAACAGGGTGGAACTCAGGGTCGTCGGGGTCGCGAATGAAATCTGTAGATCTGTTAGCTTCAATAATGCAAGGAGTCCAGGAAACCTTACAGAGAACGCCTTGACGCATAATCTTCCTGCACATCGACACAAAGAGGGCAAAATGGAACATATAGCCAGTGCCAACAAACCAGTGAACAAAGACGGAAGTCAGAGGATAGTTGTAAGTAAAAAGGAGGCGAGACTTGAAAGTCGTGTTCTCAAACAGGGGAAGGAGAGCACCGTCCAGTAGGAGTCCGCAATAAAGCGGGAAGACAAGCATCTCAATGCTAATGATCATGATAACCTTCATAATGCCACTAGCTTGGTGCAAGGTATCAATGATGCCAGCCTCCCAAGCTTGAAGCATATGACCCCGAGAGAATGGGCTTCCGCGCTTCAAGTAAAGTGCGCCGAAGAAGAATAGTGTCGCATAGCCTGCTGCGATGGCCCAGAAGCGATCCAGACCAGACCAGTGGGCCAGCTCCGGATTAACGTTAAGAGGTCCATCAGGCTCTCCAAGGTTGACCACCCAAGAATTCGGCTTCAACAGAGCAGAGGAGAGAGCGGTGATCTTAGGCCACGCTACAGCAGCTGCCGATGTAATTGAATCCACAGACACACTGCTGGTGACGATTCTGCCACTGAAGATAAAGCCTACAACCTTGCTGATGATTGTGAAGAGAGCACCAATGTTACCTTTGACTGCGAGGAGTGCACTATGGCTGATGGCAGAGAAGTTCTGCATCTCTGCTGCAGACATGGGCAAATCCATAAAAGTATAGTCCAGTACTCGCGAACCGGCGTTGGTCCAGAGGGACCATGAGGCCTTTCTTGCTGCGAGGACTTGAGCGCCCACAGGGCCCCCGATAAGACCTGTGAACATATCGATCATGTTGATGGCGACCCACAAACCAAATCCGGCAGCCATAACGGCAGCATCTTGCAAGAGCTTGGAGAATTCAAATATCAGGCGAACAAGGCGCATGGGGTTGGCAACCACCCAGACACTGACACGTCCGAAATTGTAAGGAACAAAGATGCAAGCAAAGATTGTCACAGAGACGAGAACCGCACAGAAAATAGCGTTTTGGAAGAGCCCGGCAACAGGTCCACGCATACCAATCAGCTCCATGACACCCTCAAAGTCTTCGAGGTCTTCCATGGCTTCTTGATCAAGTCCTGCACCTGGAGCATCGCCCAGATCCTCAGGTTCCTCAGGCTCTTCGGCTGCAGCCGCATCAGGAGGAGGTCCGTCTTGGTGGACTTCATCAAGCTCAGTTTCCCAACCATCGGTGTCGTCTTGTTGGGCGACGACGGGGTCAGCAGCGTTTGCATCCGGGACAGCTCGTTGTTGCTCATCCAAGTCACCCCACATGAAATCAGTCACTCTACCGACTAAGCCAGCCGGCCGGCCGTTTTCCTGAACTGCAGCAACTGGAGGTTGTTCCAATGCGTGTGGCCCCGGAGTTCCAAACGTTCCAGTGCGTTCAACCCGACGAGCTGGCTCATTCTCGTTTTCTCTCAAATCGGGCAAAGCACTAGCCGCAACATCTTGCCTCAACTGTTCATGGTTTTTGGATCCAAACAGTGCTGCCTCAGAAGCATTTGGCAGCCCGCTTGATGCCCCTTCCTCCTGAGTATCAACAGGCAGTCCTTCAAATGACCAACTATTGTTGGCTAGGGGGTTCACTGAGTCATGAAGTTGAGGCCCATCTGAAACAGCGCGAGGTCGAGAAGGACTTGCCGCAAAGCTTGTCTCAGAGGTTTGGTCAGGTAGAGGTGGTAGGGTCTCCTTTTCCTTGCCCTTGCTTGAAGAAGATTCGCCGGGTATATCCATTGGTGTTGGGAAGTCGTCAGAACCGGGTGTATAAGCCTTCCGGGATGAACTGGCAACAGTAGAGCCGAAACTTCCTGCTCGCTCTCGACTAGTGTAAGGATCAGTGCCGATACCAAGGAGAGGCGAGTCATCTTCATCATGTAGAGCCCGGCGTGTAACATCAACCCAATACGAGAGCTTGTTTTCAAGTCCCTCCTCGTGGATAAGCTCCAGAATCTTTCGAGCATCACCGTCTGCCTGTCGGTAAATACGAAGGTAATCGTAGACGCTGGCACGCTCCTCAGAAATACCTGCGTCTGTAGGGGTTTGAGATTCGACTGGACCTGCCTCAGAGGGGCCGGTTTCGATAAGGCCCGGAGGGACCATGAGCTCAGAGTTCGTTCGCCTGCGTAAACGTCCATCAGCCTGAACCTGAGCGGCAAAGGCGACATCATTTGCGGTGGCGAAGGGGTCTCCGGTATCCAAAGTCTCGTCGTCTGATTCGTCTGGGCCCTGCAGCTCCTCCACATCCTCCGGCCGGACGAGCAT